CGACAAAGGGCTGGCATTTGGCAGACAATCGGCGGCCGAACCGATGGATCCGTTAGAGTATTACAAATCGTGCGAAATATTCAAAGAACTCTTAGAGAGTGTCCAGTATTTACATGAGAGAAGACCTCCGATAATACATCGAAACCTCAAACCCGAAAATGTAATGACTGTAAACGCATTGGATGGCGATCATAGGAGCCGCCGGTTGATTAAGCTAGGTGACTTTGGTTTGGCCAATGTATATCTTCGGGCTAACCACGTGAACAACGACTCACTCAGGTATAGGGCACCCGAAACGATGACGGGCGCACTTTGGTATCAGGCACCTGAAGTGTTTAGTGGTTACAATGATAGCCACAAATTAGACATGTGGAGTCTAGCTCGAATTGGCACAGAGCTATTTGATGTGGATCCATGTGATAAGTATTGCTGTTTAAAATGTCGCTCGTTTATTGGTTGAGTTAGTGTATTAATTATGCAATTTATGTATTGTTAATAGCAGGACTGTTGATACCTATCCGGATGATCACGTGCTGAACGGACCGGTAGTGCGTTTGCACCGTATGTTGCAGTCAATGATGTCGCACCCGTTTTGGGAGCAAAGGCCTGAGTGTCGGCAAGTGTTGGCCAAACATAACGAGTGGTCTATCGATAAGCCTTAACATTATAGTCAATGCCACCGATTATGAAATGATGTTTGATTTTTATATTTTAATTCAGTGCTAAATACACTTCAATCTAATGTCAATTCAATTTTCTATCAGATTTTGTTTCGTAAAACACAATAACATATTATTTGAAATTATAATACTTTTGACTTGTTAACACATTATTTAAACAATTAATTAAATCTATCCCAAATATCAAAATTAATAAACATAATCCAATAAAATGCAGTTTTCAAAAAGTAATTTCAGTCAATTTCTTTATTTATTAAATTACGACATAATCTTATCTCAGGTGATAGGCTTATATCCCGGACAGAAAATGTGACCATCATTGTCCCATTATCAGTGCTTACATTTAACAGATAGTGTGTGCACTGAATTGTATTGATTAGCTTAAACTCTCATTTATGAAAATTCTATAAAAGCTTGTATTTAAAGCTTGTTATAACGACACAAATATTAGATTTTTAAATATTTCTTTATTAAAAGTCTAGATTCACAAAAATTTTAATTATTGTATTTGTTTCTAAAATAATTTATTCATTTATAATCTTAGATTATTAATCATATATAAAATTTAGTAAATTATTTGAAATGAATAAAATGGACGAGTTTGAAGACCTGGATGTGATTGGGAGGGGTGGGTTCGGTACAGTGTATAAAGTGGCACATAAATTGGACGCAAAAGTATATGCCATTAAAATTATCAACCTACTAGGTAACATTTAACCATTATATAATTTTCTATTTACAATTTTTGTGATACATTTTGCAGCGATTAGTGATGAACACAAACATCAAGTGATAAAAGAGATAAAACGGTTGGCAAAAGTGCGCTCACAATATGTGATACTGTATCACAACTCATGGCTCGACGACAACAGCACTCGACTGTACATTCAGATGGAGTATTGCCCGCAAAGTCTGCGCTCAGTATTGGCCGACAAAGCGCTGGCATTTGGCAGACAATCGGCGGCCGAACCCATGAATACTCACGAGTATTACATATCGTGTGAAATATTCAAAGAGCTCTTAGAGTGCGTCCAATATTTACACGCATTGAGACCACAGATAATACACCGAAAGCTCAAACCGGAGAACGTATTGATTGTCAACGAAATAATCAATTATATTGACGACAATTATAGGGGCCAGAGGTTTATTAAGCTAGGTGACTTTGGTTTGGCCAATGTATACCTTTATGCTCACCACCCGTACCCAATCAAATATGAGGCGCCCGAAGTGCACCATGATCAGATGTATAGCCGCAAATCGGACACATTTGCCCTGGCTGCAATTGGCACCGATCTATTTGATCTCAATCCATGTGTTATGTAATGTTGTTTAATTAATTTGTTAATTCATTATTATTGAAGTTTAGCGTATAATTAATGCAATTTATATGTTGTTAATAACAGGACAGTAGATGCCTATCCGGATGATCACGTGCTAAACGGACCGGTAGTGCGTTTGCACCGTATGTTGCAGTCAATGATGTCGTACCCCTATTGGGAGCAAAGGCCTGAGTGTCGGCAAGTGTTGGCCGAATGTGACGACTGGTCTATCGATAAGCCGTAAATTTATAGACATTGACACCGATTATGACGTGATTTTGTAAACGTAATAGAAATTTATGTTTTGTAAGCAAAAAATTGATAAATAAATGGTTGAATTGATTTTGAATAAAAATTGTTGACTTTTGCTAAACAAGTTGTATCTCTTTTTATTCGTTTATCTCATTATTTAATATTTGTTTGAATTAATTAATAGAGATATTAAACAAATGTTTTAATAGTTTTACAGTTAAGAGTTATGAGAATAGTTTTAGTCAATAGTTTTATTAATAATTAAATTAACATTACATTAAGTTATAATGAAATATTATCAGCAAATAAGCATTAATTTTGTGCATTAATTAATTATAATAGTAGATTATAACTGTTTACATTTATTAGCCGGGAATACAAATGTAACTTGTATGTCAGTTATATCTATCAGTTATCTAATTTTGATATTGCCTTGATAAAAGTATTGATATAACTAGGGTTCCTCACAGACCGACCATGGTCGTTTTTGCCATATTACAGATGGTTTATATACATAGTTTAAAACACAAATGTGCTTTAATCTCACATATTTTTCACTTCTAATCTTTAAACTTTTAAACATAACTTTAAATACAAGTATTTTTTCGTTTAATTGTTATTAAACATAACTTAATTTATTTCTGTATCCATTTTTTGTCTCCTTATATTGAAAGACAAACACATGTTTTGATTAACTATTGATTTAATTTTATTTTAATTGTTTGTTTCAATCATTTTTAACCACAATACATATATGAAAAATATGTTTATGGGATAGTGAGATCCCCCACTCCCCTCTCCCACCCTATGAGATTTACCATGGGATCCAATGTTAATCTTATGGATATACTTTAACATGGGGAAGTTCTCATAGGTTTATTATGGGTTTCTATGAGATTACAGCTTAAATCTATGACATAGGTTTAACATGGGCAATGCTAAGTCTATGGCATAACGATAACATGGGTAATGCTAAGTCTATGGCATAGGGATAACATGGGTAATGATAAGTCTATGGCAGTAATGTTATTTCAATGGGATAATGCTTTTTCTATGGAGATATACTAAATGAATCTGACATAATAAATAAAACTATTTGTTGTAAAAACATTTAAAATTCTCAAAATAACAATAGTGAAAGTATTATAACAAACGTATTGAAAAATTAAAATCTTTAATGCATTCCCCGAATTGTGGTTAACGCATAGCATCGATATGTGAACCTGGTTTGTTGATTATGTGTATAAATATAACTTATTTTCTTTAAATATTTGATTTTTCACTAAATTATTAGTTTAAAAATATTGAATTTATTTTCGCATCCTTAATTTTGCTTTCCCCCATTATTTTCACCCCTTTGACGAACGCTAGATATAACAATGATAATACAATGTAAATTTGCACGTACACATGTTAAGCACCTACAGTTTAATATGCAGTATATTTTTAACCGGTGTGTAAATTGTCAACATATTTAATAGACTAAAGGCTATAACAATATGACTCAGAGGTTAATCACAGGTAAGTCACGAGCAATCAGTGCACACATGCGCACTGCACACACATTCCTATGCAAAGCACATGTTTTATCTCAAATCATGAGTTTTGATACTTATTTGCGGCAAAAATGCCATAAAATATTTAAGATAAATCTTTAGCATAAAATCCCACTTTAAACGTGTTTTTGACACAAATAGTCGTGTATTTCTTAATACAAGTGACAATATATTGAACAATTAAAATGGCATTCATTTAGTTTGTGTTTTAATTATTCACATAATTATATTTAAAAATGTGTGATTTATTGAAAAAGTTTGCGATTTGTGATAATATTGCTCTTAATATTAGAGAAAATATTACAAAACTATTTGTTTTCAACGATTGTAATAATAAATCCAATGTATTATTTGTGGCAAATAATATGATCTATGGTTTTGGTCATAATTGCAATGGATGTCTGGGTTTGGGACACAATAATCCCATACAATCACCAGAACTGATACCACAATTATCTCATCAAAACATCCAATACTTTGTCAATGGATATAATTTCATGTTAGCAGTGAATGATGTGAATAACGTATTCAGTTGGGGTATTAATAGATTCGGACAATTGGCCCAGGGTGATCAGCAAACTGAATATTTAACACCACAGCTTATACAATATCTTATCGGTAAAAATGTTGTTCAAATCAGTTGTGATTATTCACACACTTTGGCCCTCACGAGTAAAGGCCGGGTATATGCCTGGGGTAACAATTATTACGGTCAGATTGGATGTGGCGATAATAAGATGGCATTTACTAATACCCCGATTAAGGTTATATTTAAATTTAATTATAAAATACAATCCATTTATTGTTATACCGACTCTTCGTTTGCCATCACATCCGACGGATATGTCTTCAGTTGGGGTCAGAATAGTAACCATAGATTAGGACACAATAAAACCAATTATTTTAAGGTACTAAAACCCCGATTGATATCAACCATAAGTGATGTCATATCTGTCTGTTGTTCACAATTTGGTACATATTTTCACACCACAAATGGTCTCTACTTTTGTGGCATATATTATAATAACAGTAATGAATTGATTGAAACAATTCCGACACAAATAGTTAACTATTATTTGCAAGAAATTCATTTCGGTATTAATACTCTTAATAGTGAATTCATTAGTGTTTTGCATAACAAGAACGTATATAAAATACTAAATGACCGCGAAGTATATGAAACAAAATATAACAATTTTGTCGGCTTTTACGCCAAAGAGTGCCAAATAACTAACAAAACCATTGATTTGCGAGATATGAATGAATTGACAATAATTACATCAAACGATATCGAAATGGAAAGCGATAATTCAGTGAGTGTTATGTCATTTGAAGAGTTCAGAGAAGTATTACAACCGATGGCCAGTAATAACAATACTATTACACCGATTGGAAACAATAATGGTAATTAAAATTTATAAAACATGGTAATAACATGTTGTGAAAACTATTTATCTAATTACAGGCCAGAGACAAGTATCCCATAACAGCTTTTACCATAATACTTTTGATGAACTCAATCTGATAAGGAGGGGTGCGTTCGGCGAAGTGTTTAGAGTGAGACATAAATGGGATGGAATTGTGTACGCGATTAAAAAAGTCGAGTTCCCTGGTAAGTTTGCGTAATTATTTATATATTTAATTAATCAACTAAACTAACTATTAATATGTATAATAATATTATATTATTAATAATAGCCGACGAAAGTGATAGACGTCAACAGCGAGTGCTAAAAGAGGCACAAAGTTTGGCAAAACTGAGCTCACAATATGTGGTACAGTATCACAACTCGTGGCCCGAAGACAATGTCCTATACATTCAGATGGAGTATTGCCCGCAAAGTCTGCGCAAACTATTGGCCGACAAAGCGCTGGCATTTGGCAGACAATCGGCGGCCGAACTCATGAAAGCATTCGAGTATTTCATTTCATGTGAAATATTCAAAGAACTCTTAGAATGTGTTGAATATATTCACGGATTGGATCCACTGCTTATTCATCGGGACATTAAACCGGACAATATATTAATTGATCCCAAATTCAGGTCCAATCGGTGCGTAAAACTGTGTGACTTTGGTTTGGCCACAGTTCACGACCCGAACCTACACTCTGACAGCCACTGCCATACATCAGGTGCGGGTACTCCTGAATATATGGCGCCCGAAGTATTTAGCGGCAGATATAATCACAAGTCAGACATATATAGTGTCGGTCTAATCGGGAAGGAGTTGTTTGGCATAGATTTCAATGTGTGAGTAGTTTTAGAAATATTTTTAAATCTAATATTTATTACATTTTATTTTAATTATGTTATATTTATAGCTCGCAATCATTTGAAGCAAATGAATTGGTAGTCAAGGCATGCATACTATGTATGTCTCAGACGCTGGTGAATATGATGGCAATTGTGTGGAGACAAAGGCCTGAGTGTCGGCAAGTGTTGGCCAAACATAACGAGTGGTCTATCGATAAGTCTGTTGTCACGACTCATAAGGATTTTAATTTAGTGTTAAATACACTTAAATCTAATGATAATTCAATTTTCTATAAGATTTTATTTCGCAAAACAAAATAATATTCTTTAAAATTATAATAGTTTTGACTTTTGTTTTAAACATAATATTCAACAATAAATGAAGCATTGATTGTAATTAATAATTAATGATTGCAAGAAAGAAAACAAAATGTATTCACATTTAATAAAAAATTTGTTCATTTTTATGGCATATAAAATGTTTGTTTTAATTAATTAAAAGTGAATTCAAGTTAATGAACAATCTTAATAGACTAAAGGCTATAACAATATGACTCAGAGGTTAATCCCAGGTAAGTCACGAGCAATCCGTGAACACATGCGCACTGCACACACATTCCTATGCAAAGCACATGTTTTATCTCAAATCATGAGTTTTGATAATTATTTGCGGCAAAAATGTTATAAAATATTTCGCATAAAAAGCCAACTTTCAACGTGTTTTTGACACAAATAGTCGTGTATTTCTTAATACAAGTGACAATATATTGAACAATTAAAATGGCATTCATTTAGTTTGTGTTTTAATTATTCACAATTAATTATATGATAATTAATAATGTTTTGTGTATTTAATGTTTAAAAATGTGTGAAATATTGAAAAAGTTTGCGATTTGTGGTAATATTCCTCTTGATATCAGAGGAAATATTACAAAACTATATGTTTTCAACGATTGTAGCAATAAATCCAATGTATTATTTGTGATAAATAATATGGTCTATGGTTTTGGTCATAATGGCAACGGATGTCTTGGATTGGGACACAACAGACCCGCACCACAACCGCAAGAGATACCAGAATTGCGTAATCAAAGTATACAATACTTTGTCAACGGATATAATTTCATGTTAGCAGTGAATGCCGTGAATAACGTATTTAGTTGGGGCGTCCAATTGGCCCAGGGTCAAACTGTATATTTAAGACCACAGCTTATACAACATTTTAGCGGTAAAAATATTGTTCAAATCAGTTGTGATTATTCCCATTCACTCGCCCTCACCGGTGACGGCCGGGTGTATGCCTGGGGTAACAACTATTACGGACAGATTGGATGTGGAGATGGCATTGGATTCACTAATACACCGATTGAGATGACGTTTGGCTTTAATTGTAAAATACAATCCGTTTATTGTTATAACGACTCTTCGTTTGCCATCACATCCGACGGCCGTGTCTTCAGTTGGGGTGAGAATAGTTACCATAGATTGGGACACAATATAACCGAAGATAAGGTACTAAAACCCCAAATGATATCAACCATAAGTGATGTCATATCTGTCTGTTGTTCACAATTGGGTACTTATTTTCACACCACAAATGGTCTCTACTTTTGTGGCAAATATTATAACAACAGTATTGTATTGATTGAAACAATTCCGACACAAATAGTTAACTATTATTTGCAAGAAATTAATTTCGGTATTAATACTAATAATAATGAATTCATTAGTGTTTTGCATAACAAGAAAGTATATAAAATACTAAATGACCGCAAAGTTTACGAAACAAAATATAACAATTTTGTCGGCTTTTACGCCAAAGAATGTCAAATAACTAACAAAACCATTGATTTGCGAGATATGAATGAATTAACAATCATTACATCAAACGATATCGAAATGAAAAGCGTTAATACAGTGAGTGTTATGTCATTTGAAGAGTTCAGAGAAGTATTACAACCGATGGCCAGTAATAGCGATACAATTACACCAATGGGAAGCAATAATGGTAATTAAAATTTATAAAACATGATGCTAATATATTGTAAAATCTATGTAAACCTTACATTATATTAACTTTACTATATCTAATTATAGGCCAGAGCCAAGTGTCTCAAAACAACTTATACCATAATACTTTTAATGAACTCGGTCAGATTGGGAAGGGTGGGTTCGGCACTGTGTTTAAAGTGAGACATAAATTGGTTGGTATTGTGTACGCGGTCAAAAAAGTCACCTACCCCGGTAAGTTGTGTTTAATTAATTAAATAATTAACTTTGACTAACGAAATATAATGACTACAACTTTTTATAATAGCTGAGGGAAGTGATGGACGTCAACAGCGAGTGCTAAAAGAGGCACAAAGTTTAGCAGATCTGAGCTCACAATATGTGGTACAGTATTACAACTCATGGCTCGACAACAATGTGCTATACATTCAGATGGAGTATTGCCCGCAAAGTCTGCGCAAACTATTGGCCGACAAAGGGCTGGCTTTTGGCAGACAATCAAAGGCGGAACCGATGAACGCATTCGAGTATTTCATTTCATGTGAAATATTCAAAGAACTCTTAGAATGTGTTGAATATATTCACGGATTGAATCCACCGCTTATTCATCGGGACGTTAAACCGGACAATATATTGATTGATACCAAATTCGGGTCCAATCGGTGCGTAAAACTGTGTGATTTCGGTTTGGCCACTGTTCACGACCCGAACCGACACACTGACAGCCGATACCATACACCAGGTGCGGGCACTCCTGCATATATGGCGCCCGAAGTATTTAGCGGCCGATATAATCACAAGTCAGACATCTATAGTGTCGGTGTAATCGGGAAGGAGTTGTTTGGCATAGATTTCAATGTGTAAGTAGTTTTAAATATAAATATATATTTTTAAATATAATATTTGTTACATTTTATTTTAATGATGTTATATTTATAGCTCGCAATCATTTGAAGCAAATGAATTGGTGGTCAAGTCATGCATACTATGTATGCCTCAAACGCTGGAGGATATGATGATAACTGGCCGGCGATGGAAAGACAGGACTGATTGTCGGCAAGTGTTGGCCAAACAGAACGAGTGGTCTATCGATAAGTCTGTTGTCACGACTCATAAGGATTTTAATTTAGTGTTAAATACACTTAAATCTAATGTTAATTCAGTTTTCTATGAGATTTTATTTCGCAAAACAAAATAATATTATTTGAAATTATAATTGTTTTGACTTTTGTTTTAAACATAATATTCAACAATAAGTGAAGTATTGATTGTAATTAATAATTATTGATTGCAAGAAAGAAAACCAAATGTATTCACATTTAATAAAATATTTGTTCATTTTTATGTCATTATAAAATGTTTGTTTTAATTAATTAAAAGTGAATTCAAGTTAATGAACAATGTTAACAAGCAAAACATCACACATGGTTATTTTTTTTAAGAGGGATTGCCTCATATATTGTCCGACGATTACATAACGTAATCAATGTGTCAATGATTGTTGAGTTTTGACAATAGGGTTATAGCGTTAGCATAGCGTACGTCAGTGTTATAGCGCTCCCTCTGAGCCCCCAAACCCTTGTCTAGCATTGCCTACAATGGACTCCAATAGGTGTCCACTCGTCGACGTTATTGACGTTTATTAGGTTTTTGATATTACCGTTATATCAGCGATAATATGACCTTCGCTTCAGTGGTGTTCACAATGTCTTGAGTCGATTGAGTGCCCGATTTTGAGCCCATTTTGGTATATATTTTGTACATTTTTTAGTATTGATTTGGGCTGCACTTTTTTATATGGGCACCAACAAAGATGGCCGCCGAGTGGATATTTGAATAGCCCTTGGTCAGTAGTACCGAGATATGATAGTCCGAGTTTACGACGACAACCCGTTTTCGAGATATTCGGGATAAAAGTTGTGATTTTCCCATAGAACCCCATTATAAACAAAATTTTCTTTTTTTACACCTAACCTAACCTATCCTAACTTAACCTTACCTAACCTAACCTAACCTAACCTAACTTAACCTAACCTAACCAACTTATAAATATAAATATACACATAGTTTACAACTCTATACATGTCTTATCCCGTGAACTTTATATATCAGTCTTATCTCCGGAACAACTCTATGTGTAAGTCTTATCCCCAGAACAACTGTAACATAACATAACAAAAAATGTAAAAAAGAAAATTTTGTTTATAATGGGCTTCTATGGAAAAATCACAACTTTGATCCCGATTATCTCGAAAACGGTTTGTCGTCGTAAACTCGGACTACCATAGCTCGGTACTACTGACCAAGGGCTATTCAAATATACACTCCGCGACCTGTTCCGCTGGTGCC